ACCACCATCCTGGTCGTTGTGGATTGCTTTTCAAAAGCTTGCCGCCTCATGGAACTTCTGGGGGTCTCGGTCAGCCTGACCTCTGGGTTTCACCCCGAATGGGCAGGTGGAACGGGTGAATCAAGATGTGGGTAGGTTCCTGCGGTCCTACTGCCAGGACCGGCCGGGGGAGTGGTCGGTGTTCTTGCCATGGGCCGAATATGCCCAGAACTCTCTCTGCCACTTCTCCACTATCCTATTGCCATTTCAATGTGTTTTAGGTTATCAGCTGGTTCTGGTACCGTGGCATCAGAGCCAGCCCGAAGCTCCTGTGGTGGATGACTGGTTTCGGCATGCGGAGGAGACGTGGAACACTGCTCATGTCCACCTCCAGCACGCCATGCGTTACCAGAAGGCCAACGCTGACCCTGGTTACACACACCTGGTTCCTGTATAAGTGTTCCCTCTGCCCCCTTGTCTTTGTGTGTGATTGTTTATTGTGGAGGATAGTGAAGCTCGGTGGAGCTCCGTGTATTTTGAATCACAGGGATATTTCCCTGTGTGCCTTGTATTTTCTAGTGTGCCTGTTTTGCGCACTGGAGTGTTTTTGACGCATTACTGCGTAACTCTGTATTTGCGGAATAAAGCCTGTTATTCTGTGATTTACCCTGCGCATGACTCCTTCAACATCACCTCATCACAGCGGGGGCACAGGTTAGTCGAGGTAATTGAGGTAATACGTACATGTAAGTAGATTTAAAGTGACTATGCATAGATAATTAACAAAGAGATGCAGCAGCGTAAAATAGGGGGTAGAAGCTGTTAAGAAGCCTTTTGGACCTAGACTTGGTGCTCCGGTACTGCTTGCCATGTGGTAGCAGAGAGAACAGTATATGACTAGGGTTGCTGGAGTCTTTGACCATTTTTAGGGCCTTCCTCTGACACCGCCTGGTATAGAGGTCCTGGATGGCTGGAAGCTTGGCCCCAGTGATGTACTGGGCCGTACACACTACCCTCTATAGTGCCTTGTGGTCGGAGGCCGAGCAGTTGCCATACCAGGCTGTGATGCAACCAGTCAGGATGCTCTCAATGGTGCAGATGTAGAACTTTTTGAGGATCTGAGGGCCCATACCAAATCTTTTCTAACTCCTGAGGGGGAATAGGCGTTTTTGTACCCTTTTAACGACTGTCTTGGTGTGTTTGGACCATGATAGTTTGTTGGTGATGTGGACACCAAGGAACTTGAAGCTCTCAATCTGCTCCACTACAGCCCGTCGATGAGAATGGGGGCGTGCTCGGTCCTCTTCTTTTTCCTGTAGTCCACAATCATCTCCTTTGTCTTGATCACGTTGAGGGAGAGGTTGTTATGCTGGCACCACACGACCAGGTTTCTGACGTCCTCCCTATAGGCTGTCTCATCGTTGTCGGTGATCAGGCCTACCACTGTTGTGTCGTCGGCAAACGTAATGATGGTGTTGGAGTCATGCCTGGCCATGCAGTCATGGGTGAACAGGGAGTACAGGAGGGGACTGAGCACTCACCCCTGAGGGGCCCCTGTGTTGAGAATCAGTGTGGCAGATGTGTTGTTACCTACCCTTACCACCTGGGGGCGGCCCGTCAGGAAGTCCAGGATCCAGTTGCAGAGGGAGGTGTTTAGTCCCAGGGTCCTTAGCTTAGTGATGAGCTTTGAGGGCACTATGGTGTTGAACGCTTAGCTGTAGTCAATGTTCCTTTTGTTCAGGTGGGAAAGGGCAGTGTGGATTGCAATAGAGATTGCGTCAACTGTGGATCTGTTTGGGCGGTATGCAAATTGGAGTGGGTCTAGTGTTTCTGGGATAATGGTGTGGATGTGAGCCATGACCAAACTTTCAAAGCACTTCATAATTACAGATGTGAGAGCTAAATGGCAATAGTCATTTAGGCAGGTTACCTTGGAGCTCTTGAGAACAGGGACAATGGTGGTCACCTTGAAACATGTTGGGATTACAGACTGGGACAAGGAGAGATTGAAAATGTCTGTGAAGACACTTGCCAGTTGGTCTGTGCATGCTTTGAGAACACGCCCTGGTATTCCATCTGGCCCGGCAGCCTTGTGATTGTTAGCGTGTTTAAACGCTTTGCTCACATCGCCTCAGAGAGCGAGATTACACAGTCATCTGGAAATACAGGGGCTTTCACGCAAGGCATAGTTTTATGTTCCTCGAAGTGAGCATTAAAGGCATTTAGCTCGTTTGGGAGATCTGTATCGCTGGTCAACTCATGGCTGGGTTTCCCTTTGTAATCCATTATCGTATGCAAGCCCTGCAACTTATGACAAACGTAGGAGTTGGTGTAATAGGATTCCACCTTCTATATTGTCCTTTTGCATGTTTGATGTCTTGTCGGAGGTCGTAGCGGGCTTTCTTGTGTGCGTCCATGTCCGTGTCCCGTTCCTTGTAAGCGGTAGCTCTAGCCTTTAGCCCAGCGCGGATATTGCCTGTAATCCATGGTTTTTGGTTTGGTTATGTTCGTATAGTCACTGTGGGAACGATATCGTCTATGCACTTATTGATGAACCCCATTGTCTGTTCCGGAACATATCCCAGTCTGTACTAGCAAAACTGTCTTGTAGCTTCGCGTCTGCTTCTTGCGACCACTTCCATATTGAGCGCATCACTGGTACTTCCATGTGTGTGTGCATGTGTGTGTGCGTGTGTGTGCATGCATGCATGCACGTGTGTGCTTTAGGGAGGACAGTGCAGAGTGTGTGTGTTGGAGCAGGCAGATAAAGCTCCAGTCTGGGCCTTTATAAGAAGTCTCATAAATTCTGGGGGTCCCCCTATCTCTAAGAAAGGTAGGCAGTGTCGGATGGCATTTGGCCTGTGAAAGCCCAGCCCCAGAGAGGCCATCGCTCTGTCTCTCAGGCTCACTCATGCATGCATTAATTCCCTCTCAATGGTAACGGTAGTAAAGGTGTTAATAGATGCACATTCAGTATGCTGAGATAGACTGCCATAAACCCCTATTATTTGCCAATAACAGAATTAGCATTAGTTGCTCATCACCGCCCCACACTCGTCCTCCCACCCCCTGAAAACGACCCACCGTTAAACCCTGCTCGTTATAGCTGCAAGCCAGCATCGAGACACTGGCCTACCTACCTGTAGATTCTTTATATTATAGTGCCAGTGCCACCCATGTCAAGGGACAGCCTCTAGATAGAGAGGAAGCCATCATTGATTCACCACATTTCCATACAATGCTGCTGTAAAGTGCGGGGTTACTTAATACTGAGCAAGAGAACAACAAAGAGTGAGTACACGACAAGACACTAACATTCACACACAACACAACACTGAACAGTCCAGGGCTATATGGGGGTGGTGATGAGATGATGAGGTGCAGATGCGCTGCCGGTGATTAGGGTGCGTTGGGTTTCCATTCCGGTGTTGCTGAGGTGGTGCGCTCAGACCGGTGGCTCAGTAGACCGGCGAATCAGAGCGGCGGAGGGGAGCAATGGGAGGAGACGTGACAAACATGTTGACCCTATGTATGACCAATTTTCATAGACTTTGAATAATAACCTAATCGACTTCATATAATTATTATGAACGTTTCCCGAATTTCACCAGTTTCATAAAAATTCCAGTCTTTTTACTCACACTAGTGAAGAAGATCACCTCATCAATCATGTCTTCCCACAGACCGTTGATCACTTATAACAAACATTAGTCTGTCTGGGGTTGTGCCTATGTCTGAGGACGACCCACCCAGAGACAGCTATAAATCTGATGATAAAACATATGGCCAGGGTCCTACAATCTCTCTGAAGATAGCTGAAGATTAAAAACAAGTAACAATGTAAAAGAAAATATTCAAATGTTCCAATTACCATAACAACTATAAAGACACATCATTTTTCAAAGATCAAAAAGGATAATCAGTGAAGTGATCTTGTAATTGTTTGCACTATAGAACATCCACTCTAACAGATCAAATTGATATTCAAGTACTTAAATTATCTTCTCATGTTTTCTACATCTGCCTGTGCTCAGTATCTGACAAACTGCGACAGCCTTTAGGTCCTTCTCTCTATTTTGTCTTGGTGCTTAATGAAAGTTGCAACTGTGATCCAGCCAGGCAGAAATGTTGAGAGGTGATCTGCTCTGCACTGACCCTGTCTGTGACTCTGTCACTCTCAGGCTTACAGACTGCAGGTAGGGTTTGCGTGTGGCTGTGTGGGTGAATGGAGATAGACTTATGTCTGGCCTGAACAGATGCCAAGTGTTTTATTAAACTCTGTGTCGTTCCAATCCCAGCATGCTGTGGTTAAGCCTGGTCCGGGCTCAGGACTCTATTCTAGGGGGGCGGGGGACGGAGAGGTGACCCAGCTGCCACGGGGGGCTCCGCTGTCCCGCTAGGTGTTAGAGCGTGCCAGGATAAGCCCCCCACTCACAAAGGACCCGGCTAGCCATTGATGGACCCCGCGTACACTCATTAAATCTGGACTGGACCTCTCTCCACCACTCCAGGGACTGTTGTAAGGTTAGTACAGGAGGGTACAGTGACATCAAGGTCTGGCTTCAAATGTTTGTAAGAGAGGAAGGGATACATTTGAGAGAAAATTCTTGTTAAAGTGAGTTCAGTTTCATAGTCTATTTTTGACTCATATCAACAGGTGCATTTGTTGTTGGTACCCAATGATATAAAACTATTTAGATATTGTTTCAGAAAGTTAAATAAAGTGGGAGAGAGGAATGAAGAGAAAGACAAAAATCAACATTATTACGTGAGAGGCATAGAGGAAGGAGGGACGTAGTAGGAAGAGGGGGCGCCAGAGAGACCTTTCACCAGTCCATGTCAGTGAATCCAAGCCATGTTTTCTTGGCCTCTCTCTGCAGGGGTGATTACTCGGCCTTACTCCAGCCAGCCAAGCTCTGTCCGCAGAGAGCTCAGTACTGACTACTGACCAAGCATGGAGATCCTGCAGCACATTTCCAGCTAACTTCAATAAAGAGCAGAGAGCTGATCGGCTGGACCAGTATGCTGGGAGGGGACCCTGTGGAGGAGTGACCGGCAGCAGTTCTCAGGCTGGACGTTGTGGGACACAGTGGGTCCCATCACCGCCATGGAGTTTGGGAGGTTTATTTCAAAGTACCAAAAACCTTTGCTGCTCATCATGATGATGCTCAAACTGGGTAGGACTCGCTGTTGATCAACGTCTAGGTGTATCAATGTGGATTACAATACTCTATGTGTTGTGAGTGTGAATGAGACGTGTGTGTGCACTTGTATGTGTAAATATTAATGGGGAAAGTAGTGATGTGAAAATGTGTGTACACTGTGTGTGTGTGTGTGTGTGTGTGTGTGGGTGTGTGTGTGTGGACAGAGCTGTAATTCGGCATTAGCAAGGTGGGAGGATGTTACTGGAGGACAAGTGGTAGTAGCCAGCTGGCAGACAGGTTGTTGTAGTTGGTGATAATCTGAAGATCTCTGAGTGCAGTAGCGCTTCAATAAGTTATTTATTATTTAATGATATGGCTGGTCCTATTTAGAAATGTGTTTTTATTATTTTATGTAAACGTATGATGTGTCACTGTAATTGCTCATCTATTACTATGTAAGATACTGATATAATTGGCTTGAGCACTTATCATGAAGTAATTCATAATTCATAATGAACTATTACAGTGAGATAATTGGCTTGTGTTATTATTCCCTGATAGCCTATGACAGGAGCAGTTAAGACTAGTAGAGAGAAGAAGCCAGGAGGGAATTTGAGGTGTGGTGTGGTGTGGTGGGGTATATTTGGGTGGGGGATATTTTGAACCCCACCTAATGATGCGTTGACCCATTTTTCCCGCGGCCCTGCTTGTGGGAAGTGTCTGAACCTCGTTAAATTGGACAGACTGACAGGATGGGGCGGCTAGGGCGGATCACATGCAGGGGCCATTGTTACCCATCACCATGGTGACGGGCTAAGAGTCTGGCCGCACAGCTTTTTGTCTTAACTTTGAATGGAGAGGCAAGTGTTCTGAGAAGTACGGAAACAAACACAGTACTTTTAGATTGCATGGCTGATGGAAAATATAACTACAATATTGGATCAACCATTGTTGATATAAAATCTATCTTATACTATCAGTATGGCTTTTTCAATGTTAAACCTCATGAAACATCAACATTTATTTCTCTGACTAACATCACAGGATAATTGTGACTAAAAGTGTCAGAATGTGCGCTTTTTACAGCGAAGTGAATCACCGCAGTTTAGCCTTTGAGTATGAATACAATTTTGGACGAAGCACAACCCTGGCATGGTATGGCTGACAGTCCCCTGTCGTGATAAAATAGGTTACCTCTAACTAGAACTAGAGCCAGGAGCATCCTTTCACATGAGACATGATATCACTGGTCCATAATACCCCAAAGTGTGGGCCTGAGTATATGTAAAGGTTATTGTGTTTGGTTACCTTTTGTTTTGGTAACTGTTATCATAGGGCAGAGGAAATAAAGGCTCCTTATTTGGACAAACATCCAACATAACAACTATTAATCATTTCTTATCTACCTTGCTGCTTTCTTCCACACTGTTAGAGGGATGCTTTGACATACTCACTCTAGAGTTGAGACTGGGATCCATCTCTGTACAGACAGCTGACAACTCTCTTTTCTACTACTCCAGGGTTTCCCAAACTCAGTTCTTGCCCCCCGACGTTTTGGTTTTTGCCCTAGCGCTACACAGCTCATTCAAATAATCAAAGCTTGGGGTGGGGGGGACCGAGTTTGGGAAACCCTGTACTACTCTACCTGCATACTAAGTTAGGATGGTCCCATGACAAGTAGCTGGCTCTGCTCTGTGTTTATTTTGAGTCTTGGGGGTTAAGTGCTTGGTGCAGTGCAGTGTCAGAGAACAGCACCGTAGTCTGCCCATAACCATGATCTATGAACTGTTTCATGACACGGGAGGCAGCAGTGACGTCAGCACAGTGGAATGTTTCAGGGATGACTGGTCTGGCTGCAGCAGGATAGACCAGTCAGAGACCCCCACTGTCTCAGCCAATCACCACACTGTTACCTAGTCTGATATGGGGTCCAGGTAGTACCAGCTGTTAGCGTATACAGTGCATTATAGTGGGTATACAGTACACTGCATATAAACAGTGTAAGTAGGTACCATGTCTGGACTTAAGCGTCTCTGGGCCTTAGAAAAGCGGTTTTACTGTATAAATGATTGTCTGGAGGATGAGAGTGTTTACATGTATCCATATTTAACACCACTATAAAGGGAACAGAAAACCTGGTCCATTACACCATGAGTTAAGGGAAGCTTGTGGGTTGATGGGTTGACAGTAGGAGGAAACTGATGAAACTGTGGGTTGCAACGAATGTTCCAGTGTGTCTGGGGTAACAGGGGATTAGTGGAGAACAGATATGGTGTTTCGAACATACAGTACATATTACAGCAGGGGAAGAAGACTGTACTCACATCAAGTAGATTGTGACACACAACAACCAATGCTGTAGATCTATTGAGTGGAAAAGAATGATCAGTGGTTACCAACACTTGTCATGGAGAGCAACAGCCAGAGTGTGCTGGCTTTTGCTAATAATCAGACACCTGATTGGCGCCGACGAAGATGGCGGTCTCGCGACTAGCTCTTAGGAAACTTTGCAGTATTTTGTTTTTTTTATGTATTATTTTTTTTTACAATATTAGCTTAGAAAGTGTTTTGCATCATTACATACAGCCGGGAAAAACTATTGGATATCAGAGCGGCGGTAACTCACCAGCATTACGACCAGGAATACGACTTTCCCGAAGCAGATCCTTTGTTTGCTCTCCCCAGGGCAACTGAACTGATTCCAGCGGCTGACCCAAAACATCGCCGGCTGAGGAGAGGCACTTGGAGCGGCCTGCTGGTTCGACTTAGGAGGTGCGCACACCACCCACCGCTTCCAAGTATCCTACTCGCTAATGTTCAATCTTTGGTTAACAAAGTCGACGAACTACGGGCAAGGATTTCTTTCCAGAGAGACATCAAGGCCTGTAACACCTCTGTTTCACGGAAACATGGCTCTCTTGGGATATTCTGTTGAAATCGGTCCAGCCAGATGGGTTCTCAGTTCATCACGCAGACAGGAATAAACATCTCTCCGGAAGCAGAAGGGTGGAGGTGTGTGTTTCATGATAAACGACTCATGTTGTAATTGTAGTAACATACAGGAACTCAAGTCCTTCTGTTCACCCGACCTAGAATATCTCACAATCTGGGGCGCCCCCAGGTGGTGAAGGTAGGAAACAACATCTCCACTTCGCTGATCCTCAACACTGGGGCCCCACAAGGGTGCGTACTCAGCCCCCTCCTGTACTCCCTGTTCACCCATGACTGCCAAGCACGCCTCCAACTCAATCATCAAGTTTGCAGACGACACAACAGTAGTAGGCTTGATTACCAACAATGACGAGACCGCCTACAGGGAGGAGGTGAGGGCTCTGGGATTGTGGTGCCAGGAAAATAACCTCTCACTCAACATCAACAAAACAAAGGAGATGATCGTGGACTTCAGGAAACAGCAGAGGGTGCACCCCCCTATCCACATCGACGGGACCGCAGTGGAGAAGGTGGAAAGCTTCAAGTTCCTTGGCGTACACATCACAGACAAACTGAAATGATCCACCCACGCAGACAGTGTGGTAAAGAAGGTGCAACAGAGCCTCTTCAACCTCAGGAGGCTGAAGAAATTCGGCTTAGCGCCTAAAACCCTCACAAACTTTTACTGATGCACAATTGAGAGCATCCTGTCGGGCTGTATCACCGCCTGGTACGGCAACTGCACCGCCCACAACCACAGGGCTCTCCAGAGGGTGGTGCGGTCTGCCGAACGCATTACCGGGGGCAAACTACCTGCCCTCCAAGACACATACAGTGAGGGAAAAAAGTATTTGATCCCCTGCTGATTTTGTACGTTTGCCCACTGACAAAGAAAGGATCAGTCTATAATTTTTATGGTAGGTTTATTTGAACAGTGAGGGACAGATTAACAACAACAAAATCCAGAAAAACGCATGTCAAAATTGTTATAAATTGATTTGCATTTTTATGAGGGAAATAAGTATTTGACCCCTATGCAAAACATGACTTAGTACTTGCTGGCAAAACCCTTGTTGGCAATCACAGAGGTCAGACGTTTCTTGTAGTTGGCCACCAGGTTTGCACACATCTCAGGAGGGATTTTGTTCCACTCCTCTTTGCAGATCTTCTCCAAGTCATTAAGGTTTAGAGGCTGACATTTGGCAACTCGAACCTTCAGCTCCCTCCACAGATTTTCTATGGGATTAAGGTCTGGAGACTGGCTAGGCCACTCCAGGACCTTAATGTGCTTCTTCTTGAGCCACTCCTTTGTTGCCTTGGCCGTGTGTTTTGGGTCATTTTCAATGCCCTGGCTGAGGGAAGGAGGTTCTCACCCAAGATTTGACGGTACATGACCCCGTCCATCGTCCCTTAGATGCGGTGAAGTTGTCCTGTTCCCTTAGCAGAAATACACCCCCAAAGCATAATGTTTCCACCTCCATGTTTGACGGTGGGGATGGTGTTCTTGGGGTCATAGGCAGCATTCCTCCTCCTCCAAACACGGCGAGTTGAGTTGATGCCAAAGAGCTCGATTTTGGTCTCATCTGACCACAACACTTTCACCCAGTTCTCCTCTGAATCATTCAGATGTTCATTGGCAAACTTCCGACGGCCCTGTATATGTGCTTTCTTGAGCAGTGGGACCTTGTGGGCGCTGCAGGATTTCAGTCCTTCACGGCGTAGTGTGTTACCAATTGTTTTCTTGGTGACTATGGTCCCAGCTGCCTTGAGATCATTGACAAGATTCTTCCGTGTAGTTCTGGGCTGATTCCTCACCGTTCTCATGATCATTGCCACTCCACGAGGTGAGATCTTGCATGGAGCCCCAGGCCGAGGGCGATTGACAGTTATTTTGTGTTTCTTCCATTTGCGAATAATCGCACCAACTGTTGTCACCTTCTCACCAAGCGATGGTCTTGTAGCCCATTCCAGCCTTGTGTAGGTCTACAATCTTGTCCCTGACATCCTTGGAGAGCTCTTTGGTCTTGGCCATGGTAGAGAGTTTGGAATCTGATTGATTGATTGCTTCTGTGGACAGGTGTCTTTTATACAGGTAACAAGCTGAGATTAGGAGCACTCCCTTTAAGAGTGTGCTCCTAATCTCAGCTCATTACCTGTATAAAAGACACCTGGGAGCCAGAAATCTTTCAGATTGAGAGGGGGACAAATACTTATTTCCCTCATTAAAATGCAAATCATTTTATAACATTTTTTTACATGCGTTTTTCTGGATTTTTTTGTTGTTATTCTGTCTCTCACTGTTAAAAAAAACCTACCATTAAAATTATAGACTGATCATGTCTTTGTCAGTGGGCAAACTTACAAAATCAGCAGGGGATCAAATACTTTTTTCCCTCACTGTACAACACCCGATGTCACAGGAAGGCCAAAAGGATCATCAAGGACATCAACCACCCGGCTATCATACAGAAGGCAAGGTCAGTACAGGTGCATCAAAGCTGGGACCGAGAGAATGAAAAACAACTTCTTTCTCAAAAGCCACCAGACTGTTAAATAGCCATCACTAGCACATTAGAGGCTGCTGCTGCCCATTGAAATCACTGGCCACTTTAAGAAATGGAACACTAGTCACTTTATTAATGTTTACATATCTTGCACTACTCATCTCATATGTATATACTGCATTCTATTCTATAATATTCTACTGTATCTTAGTCTATGCCACTCTGTCATTGCTTGTCCATATATGTATATATTCTTAAATCCCATTCCTTACTAGTTTTGTGTGTATTGGGTATATGTTGTGAAATTGTTAGATATTACTGCACTGTCGGAGCTAGAAGCACAAGCATTTTGCTACACCCGCTATAACATCTGCTAAACACGTGTATGTGACAAATAACATATGATTTGATTTGATTTGACTAATCTAGGTAATGATCAGTTGATTCATTGAATCAGGTGCTGAACTGCATCAAAAGCCTGCCCACCCTGCAACTCTCCAGCACTATGGGTGGTCACATTATATTAGGGAAACAGGTATGAGGTGTAGGTGTTAGGGGTGACACAGTAGGGATATGGAAGTGTTAAAGGGCCAGGGGCATGGCAGTAATAGGTACAGTAGGTGCTACAGTGGATAGAGGGACAATGTGACCTTCCCTTTAAGATAAGCTGTGAGTGAGTCAAGTAAGGAAACAACACACGTAAACATATAGTAAGAATCCCTGCTAACACTCTTTGTTAAATACAGTATAAACTATACCAGTATATTGACTAACTCTGACAAAGCAGAAGCTATACATATGTGTTCGTTATGTCAAGCTTTAGCAATCTAATCAAATCAGGATTTAAGACAACATACACATTCCATAAACGTAATGATGTTTTCAATAGGAACACTTATTCAAGTATGAAAGCATTCCACAGTTTTTTCCCCTTCATATTCAAATATTTTAGCACTGTAAATTTATTATTTCTCCTTATGACAAATTGAATTTTCCATAAAGGAAATTCTGCAAAGTTAAAGTGTTTGCTACTTCTTCAACAACTATAGCAGAAAATCTAATCCAGGGTCAAACAGTCTGTGATTATTAAACTAGTAAGACAACCTGATGCGGTGTGTATTAAGATGGCCCATGCGGTCAGGCCCAGGTTATAGTAGTGTTCAAGGTGAAAGGAACTGTCATTGATGAAGCCTCTGGTGACAGCTGCTCACACAGTGAGTGTGTAATACATTAACTCCTAACACCATCTGCTGTGTTCACTCTAAGTCCAGACTATCGAGAGAGGGAAGTGGGGCTTTTTACTCTTCATTAAGAAAGTGCTCTTTGAGTGCCTCAAAAGCAGAGACAAAGGGAGAGGTCAAAGGTAGCTGGTGTATTAGCCTACTAATGAGCTAGTTGGAAATACTTGGTAATCTCACTGGTAATACTTCACCAGTATAATGGACTGGTAATACATTACCAGTGATTATCTCACCACAGTTTCATGAAGTCAAAGTTTGGAGATTGCTTACTTATTTTGAGCATTCTCATTCATGATAAATACTGAGTGTATTTTATTTATTGCCTACAGGTATACTGTGCACATCAGCAGCAGACAAGTGTCTGTCATCCCCATGTCAGAATGGAGGTACGTGTCTCGACCAAATGGGAAACTACACGTGTCTCTGCCCCAGATGGCCAGTCCACTATATGGGCAAGGACTGTAGGGAGCTGTACGACCCCTGTGTCCACGATGCCCTGTGCGCCAACTGTACCAGCAAACTGGGCACAGGAGTTTACACCTGCCACTGCCCTGACGGCTTCGCCGGGACCAACTGCACACTCAACATCAACGAGTGTGAGAGCAACCCATGTAAGGGGGGTGTCAGGTCCCATTGTGTGGACAGGGTGGACGGCTACACCTGCCACTGTCCCCCTGGCTATGGAGGAGATCACTGCCAGGCGAGGGACTGCTCTGAGGAGCCTTGCCACAACGATGCTACCTGTGTTGGCACACCGGATGGTTATGAGTGCCAGTGCGTCCCGGGCTTCCATGGGAGGGACTGTGAGGAGAACATGGATGACTGTAAGTCACTCCCCTGTCAGAACGGAGCCATCTGTAAAGACGGCGTCAACGGATACCAGTGCTTTTGTGTGCCTGGTTTCCAAGGCTACCACTGTGAGCTGGACATTAACGAGTGTGTGTCGCGGCCGTGTGAGAACAATGGGACCTGTGTCAATAAGGTGGACCACTATGAGTGCCACTGTCTGCTAGGGTTCAAAGGTGAGACAGTCTCTCTGTTTGGCTCAGTGCAATGTATCCTGCTGTCTTTAGAGTGTGATGGAATGACCTTTTATCTTTAACTCAGTGTCTTTAGTTCAGAGTTCACTACTAAACCAACCTCATATAGAAACTACAAACTTTCAGTGGCGATTTTAGCATGTAAATCTTGGTGGGGCAAAATAATAATAATAATTGGGATGCATGCCAGCAAAGCCACTACACAACTCAACACAACACAACACTAAACAATACATTAATTGCACTATAACGGTGACAAACGGTTCCCACAAACTGTTAGGGCCTACATAAAGCTGTCCCAACAGCAGAGTCCCAACAGCAGTCCCAAAACCTTACCACTGCTACACCTGGCTATCAGCAGAGCCTTGTCTGGCAGCGAAACAGTTCATTTAGCCTCATTTACATTTACTGGCTTTTAAAAAAACATCGCTGATATGGCTGACTTGCTTAAACAAATGTGGTTTCTACTGACAATTGAGATGTATAAACTATGGCATAAGGGGACGACAAGCGGATAAGAGGTAATTTCGATTAAGACATTAATGAGCGAACTAGGATGGACGTAGTCAATATAACTATTTGTTCAGCACTTTTGAAATGTACAGCGACAGAATTCAGAACATGGGCCATTCTTAGTGTTCTCCCTGTACACCAAGTCAGAACCGTATGATAAATAAAGTGGGCATATAAGCAGACAATGAAAGCTCTTACAATATTCGATGATTACATTTCTCTAAAACAGGTTATAGGCTACATGTTCACCACCAAGTCAGAACAGTAGGCAAAATTAAGAGGGGAAAATAGACCAAATTATTAGGGTGAGGCACATGGGCTATTAACAGCTTACTACACAACATATACTTAGTATTACTTTCTTAGCTACAGTATACATATCTCCCTGGCATATTACATCATTTATGCAGCAGCATACAATACATTTTTGGACTCACCTTGTTATGCTGTGCACACTTGAACAGGAACTTTGTCATCAAAGTCTGGGATTCTCTGGATTTATGGTACTTTCATTATTATTCATTATTTCTCTTCACATGACAATGATTAAAAAGGATTTGCCAGTAGATTGTCGATTTGATTCATGATGATGACTGCTAGCTAAGATTTTGAAAGTATGATGTTGACATGATCAGTCCAATCAAAGCTACTGTAGATATAACGTGATTTGACATCATTTTATCTGTGGCCAATGACCTTGAGCCTTCTTGGATGGGCACTTCTAATGTAACTCTAATGTAACCCCACTCCAAAAAAAGAATTGCTCTGCCCCACCTGCCCTGAATGACGGGTCGCCACTGCAAACCTTTAATACACTGTGTACAGTGTTGCTCTCTAAGACATCAAAGCTCTGTCATTTTTCTCATGGTGAAACCCATCATATAAAGCTGTGTCTGTGTTGTGTGGCAGGTGTGAACTGTGAAGTGGAGATCAATGAGTGTGAGGAGCAGCCCTGCCAGAATGGAGCCACTTGCCACGACCATGTGGGCCTGTACACCTGTGAGTGTGTGTCCGGGTACGAGGGACATGGCTGTGAGCTGGACATTGATGAGTGTGCCAGCGGGCCCTGTCTCAACGACGGCAACTGTACAGACCTGGTGAACAGGTAAGGCGTCTACAACTCTCTCTCCTCTCATAGGCTGAATCAGCTGCTTAACCCCAATGTGTCGGTGAGCAGTATGTCAACTGAGGGATTCCTTCCCGACAGTAAAGTTTAATAGGGCAAGGATAAAGATTAACCGCTTATTCGGATGGTAATTAATCATGAGGTTGGGAAGTGGGGAAAACCTGATAGAGAGCTTCATCAGACCTGGGTGGTGTCTCTTGTTAATACAGAGATCAGTTAGATGAACCAATTACATTTGTTAATCAAAAAATGCCATATAGGTGGCCTAAAGGGGTCTAGTGGTCTAAGCTTATTCGAAATTGGCCAACTGCTATTTCACCACCCTCTCTCCTCTATCTTTACTCTCTATCTCTGTCCTATCCAATAAAACAAAAAACGTGAAAAGTGGGACAGCCCCACACACAAAAAAAACTAAAAAGATTAGGGCAGGTGGAATTCCACTTTCCTTCCAAAAAAAAAAGCCTGTTGATCAGAAATTATACTAGATTAGAAACTTCACAGCTAAGGCTGTTTAACATTTCTACTGGCTGCGCTGAGGTCCCACTGCATTTTCATGCTTCAAAGATGTCCCAGTTTCACTGAAATAAGCACGATCTAAGTTGCCTCTCTATGTCTCCTCCTCCTCACTCAGCTATGAGTGTGACTGCAACGGGACAGGCTTCACAGGAGAGCAATGTGAAGTGGACATCCCCGAGTGTGCTTCGGACCCCTGCCAGAATGGAGCCACCTGCTTAGAGGGGGTCAACCAATTCGACTGTGTCTGCTGGACAGGTACACACACACACACACACACACACACACACACACACACACACACACACTTCTCACCAAATAAGGGAGCAACAGTCAGCTGTCTGTCATATCTGCCAAGCTTTCTCTGCACTACAGGAAGTATTACACATGCAGCAGAGGAGGCTGGTGGGAGGAGCTATAGTAGGACGGGTTTACAGTAAAGACTGGAATGGAATAAATGAAATGGTGTCAAACACATCAAACATATAGAAACCACATGTTTGACCCTGTTCCATTAATTCAATTTCAGCCATTACAATGAGCCCGTCCTCCTATAGCTCCTCCTACCAGCCTCCTCTGACACACAGTCATTATTGCACAATAATATTTGATCTGCTATCTGACATAAAAACAGAGAACATCGTAAGTGTCAGGAGTATGTTGAAATGAAAAGCTGCAGGCGCCTCCAGATAGCCTTTTACAGGCATGCAAAACCCTTTTCTTGGTAAAATTAGGTTCTTGGAGTTTCCCAGATGTATATCACAGAGATAAAGGGTAAAAGGTATGATACAAGCCTGTAGTTTAGAGGCCAAGAAGGGGGAGTGGTATGAGACATGGCGAGAGACCTACTGAGAGACCTGTATAGCGTAGCACTAACTGTGATGTTACACCACACTGTCATCTAGTGTAGGACTGGTGCAGCTGCAGGGCCATGAGCACTAGGAAAACAAAGATGATCCTCAATCCAGCAGAGGGAGAGCACATTCTATAGTTATGTTTTGATTTATGTAAATGTGTGTATAAAGACATTATGATAGATATGTATGTATGAAACAAGGCGGTACTGTGTGGTCCTGTTATAATAATGGTGTGTGTGTTGCAGGTTATGAAGGGAAGAACTGCCAGGTGGATATTGATGAGTGTGAGCTGGAGCCCTGTGAGAATGGAGGAGAGTGTTTCCAGCGCTCAGAGCTGCTGCACTACAGGGTGCTGTCTGGACTGGAGGACAGGGAGTTCAACTATGAGAAAGCAGCTGGGTTCCTCTGCCGCTGCCAGCCTGGGTTTGCTGGTAAGGCAAAACACTCATATTCATACTTGGTGACCTCATGAAAATTGAATAGGAATAGGACCCTTTAAGAATGGGATCTGATTGAATAGGAATCCTCTGATATTGTAGTCAATGTTAATTTGACTTGAGGGTAAGTTGTTGAGTAAGTAAGTAATATGTCCTGTCTCCTGCAGGTGAGAGCTGTGAAGTCAACATGAACGAGTGTGAGTCTGTTCCGTGTCAGAATGGAGGGAGCTGTGAGGACCTGGTCAACTCATACCAGTGTGACTGTCCACCTGGGTTCACAGGGAAGACTGTCTCTCTATTTCACTGTGTAATATAATACAGCTCTTTATGTGCAAAGAACCCTGACCTGCTCTTAATATACACTACCAGTAAAAGGTTTGGACACACCTACTCATTCAAGGGTTTTTCTTAATTTTTTACTATTTTCTACATTGTAGAATAATAGTGAAGACATCAAAACTATGAAATAACACACATGGAATCATGTAGTAACCATAAAAGTGTTAAACAAATCAAAATATATTTTATATTTGAGATTCTACAAATAGCCACCCTTTTCCTTGATGACAGCTTTGCACACTCTCTCAACCAGCTTCATGAGGTTGTCACCTGGAATGCATTTCAATCAACAGGTGTGCCTTCTTAAAAGTTTCCTTCTTATTGCATTTGAGCCAATCAGTTGTGTTGTGACATGGTGTGTGTGTGTGTGTGTGGGGGGGGGGGGGGGGGGGGGTATACAGAAGATAGCCCTATTTGGGTAAAAGACCAAGTCCATATTATGGCAAGAACAGCTCAAATAAGCAAAGAGAAACGACAGTCCATCATTACTTTAAGACATGAAGGTCAGTCAATACGGAACATTTCAAGAACTTTTAAAGTCTATTGAAGTGCAGTCGCAAAAACCATCAAGCGCTATGATGAAACTGGCTCTCATGAGGACCGCCACAGGAAAGGAAGACCCAGAGTTACCTCTGCTGCAGAGGATAAGTTCATTAGAGTTACCAGCCTCAGAAATTGCAGCCCAAATAAATGTTAAAGACACATCTCAACATCAACTGTTCAGAGGGGACTGTGTGAATCAGGCCTTCATGGTCGAATTGCTGCAAAGAAACCACTACTAAAGGACACCAATAAGAAGAAGAGACCTGCTTGGGCCAAGAAACACGAGCAATGGACATTAGACCGTGGAAATGTGTCTTTTGGTCTGGAGTCCAAATTGGAGAATTTTGGTTCCAATCGTCATGTCTTTGTGAGACACGGTGTGGGTGAACGGATGATCTCCGTATGCGTAGTTCCCACCGTAAAGCATGGAGGAGGAGGTGTTATGGTGTGGGGGTGCTTTGCTGGTGACACTGCCTGTGATTTATTTAGAATTCAAGGCACACTTAACCAGCATGGCTACCATAGCATTATTCAGCGATACGCCATCCCATCTAGTTTGGGCTTAGTGGGACTATCATTTGTTTTTCAACAGGACAATGACCCAACACACCTCCAGGCTGTGTAAGTGCTATTTTACCAAGAAGGATAGTGATGGAGTGCTGCATCAGATGACCTGGCCTCCACAATCCCCTGACCTCAACCCAATTGAGATGGTTTGGGATGAGTCGGATGGCAGAGTGAAGGAAAAGCAGCCAACAAGTGCTCAGCATATGTGGGAACTCCTTCAAGACTGTTGGAAAAGCATTCCAGGTGAAGCTGGTTGAGAGAATGCCAAGAGTGTGCAAAGCTGTCATCAAGGCAAAGGGTGGCTATTTGAAGAATCTCAAATATAACATATATTTAGATTTGTTTAACACTTTCTTGGTTATTACATGATTCCATAGGTGTTATTTCATAGTTTTGAAGTCTTCACTATTATTCTACAATGTAGAAAATAGTAAAAATTAAGTAAAACCCTTGAATGAGTAGGTGTGTCCAAACCTTTGACTGGTACTGTATATCAGAAAATACAATAGAAAGGAGAAATAAATCCCATGCAGTGATATACAGTATATCTCTTTGGATTCACTTGCCTAGCAGTGAGCAAAACAATAATTGGTTAATCCTGCCCCTGCTGATCATTCCTGCTGGTACTGGTCTACTTGGGCATTAGATAGCTTAAATACCAACATCAGTCAAAACAGAGATAAAACCATGTTGAAAGTTTGACCTTGAGCAAAGGAAAAGTAAAGGTGGGCTGGAAAACCACCCATGAACAACTCTGAATAACAGAGTTATTAACTCTGAATAACAGAGTTATTAACTATGAATAACAACTGAACATGAAACAGAGTATATGTCAAATTGTTTGGGTTACCTGGCCTGTACAGGGGCTTTGACAGAGAGGGTAGGTGTCCATACAGAGGGGCATGGCAGTAGAATAACAACAAAGACCATAAAACCTGCTGCCATATGTCACTAGTCCTGGCTGGGTATTAAACAGGGGTCTTTCCTCAAGTTTACCAAGGAGGAGAGAGATTACCACAAAGCTGCTTAAGCTCTATGAACCGCTAATTAATAAAAGCAGGCTTGAAAGACCCTCTCATCACAAAAACAAAACCTGTTACCAATTAAAACATAATGTATTTTGATACTCCTAGTCCTAGGTTATTTGCACAGTAAGCATACTTCCATATACTGTAACCAGGCACCGTCAACATAGAGGGGAATAACACATATGTGCACAACAAGATAATATGACTACAGATAGAGTACTCAGAAACTGGTTAAGCGAATTAAATTCAGCCCCCCTCATCCCAGCCACCTTTGACCCCCATTTCAACCTGCCATACTGAGGTTAGTCCAGTATAGTCCAGCTCAGTTCAGCCCCTCTACTCAGCAGCCTGTCTCCTGTGATTAGAATGCCGTCTGCCACTAGCCGGCATCCATAACATCGATCAGGAGTGACTGCAGCCCAACATTCCTGTTGTCAGCAGTGACAGGAGCCAGCTGGGTGGGAGGCTTAGAGCCCTGGCTGGGCTGGGCTGCTGAGGGGAGGCTGTATGCAGGCATGCGGGAGGGACGGAGGGAGGGAGAGAAGTAGGGTGGGCTGGGCTCCAGTAAACGCTTCTGCCTGCCTGGTACAGAGGGGAGTGTACAAGTGTACGGACTGTGTGTACGTGTGTGAGCGTGTATGAGAGAGAGGGGGCACGAGTTCGATCTCATCTGTGGGACCCGTTTGGCTATGTGTGTGTTTACGGCTCTGGGAGAATGAGGGGGCTACTGCTACTATTGTTGCTAGCTGTATGGTGTGGGCAATTGGGACTGACAGGTAACACTTTAAACTTACAGTGGACAGAAGGGCTGCTAGGACAGGCTGTGTGTTTATGTGGGGGAGGAAGAGTGAAGGAGGAGGGTTCAAGGAGATGTTCTTGTTTTAACTTGTGGGGAGAGGCGTTTTAGAGGATTTTGCTGATGTGTAAACTTTCTGGGCTCATTGCTTACTAAGCATATTGTAGGCCCATTGATTTACTATATACCTTTAATAATCTAGCAATATTCTTCAAAGCATTTGGTTTTTTAATGCAATTTGACTGTGACGCAGAGAGAAATACTAACTGGGCTCACATCCGTACCGATATTTCAACTTTCAGAACAATTCAATTAATGTCACAGTCATTACTTTAATTGTGTAAAGAAAAATGTAGAATCTAATTGACTGCGGGCCAATTGCATCAGTAATTTCCTCATTAGTAAAAGGCATAGTCTAATCAATTGCTTCCTGGAGAGCCGCATGCTTGCCAGTGTACTTCCATATCTGATTAACTCATTTGGTTTGGTTAGAGAGACTGATTAACTTATTGGTTTTGCACGGGAGACCCTTAGGTTCCTGTTGAATCTCACTGTGTGGCTGGGAGACAGTTCTGTGTGGCAGAGAAAGACATAACCAAACCCGTAAGCAAGATACATGTCTAACATGAAAAACTAATGGTGTGTTATGTTGTCGTTACAGGTGTGCACTGTGAGGTAGACATTGACGAGTGTGAGAGCGAGCCCTGTCAGAACGGCGGATCCTGCAAGGACGGCGCCAACGCCTACACCTGCCACTGTGTGAAGGCGGGTCCAGGGGAGGAGCCATGGGGCGACCATAACTGTGACGTCCGTCTGATTGGCTGCAGAGAACACCTGTGTGAGAACGGAGCCACGTGTGTGCCTATCCTAAGCCAACAAGAGCATGGTGGGGAGGATGGGGATGAACAAGAGCATGGCCACACCTGCCTCTGTCCCCCGGGCTTCACTGGGAAGCACTGCAGCATCCCCACCACCTTCTCCTTCAACACAGAGAGCTATGTCCTCATCCAGCTCCCTCCTACAGCTAACAGGACCAGGAGAGAGATAGAACCCCACCACCACCACCACCACCACCATGGGATCCACGTCCAGCTGTGCTTCAGGACCACCCTGCCTGACATGCTGCTGTTCTACAGAGGGGCTGAACACTACTTTGTGTCCCTGGAGATTGTGGGGGGTCACATCCATGCTAGAGCTGGATCAGGGAAGAAGCTACAGGCTACCTACCATCTCCCTGTCAATGACGGAGACTGGCATGAGGCCAAAGTGACCATGGATGAGAAGCTGGTGCTGATGGTGAAAGGACCAGGCTGTGACAATGACGGGGGATGCATGGTGGAGGATGAAGGACACAACCAACTGATCTTCTTCCAACCTGGATCATTCCCCCAGGTCTATGTGGGGGGAGCCCCCCAGAAGTATCTGAACAACACAGTGAGCAGGAAGGGTTTCATTGGCTGCATGGAGGATCTACAGGTTGACCACCAGCTGCTACTGCCCCAGGATATCTCTCCAGAGCACGTCCAAGACATGGAGCTAGGCTGCAACAAGACTGACTGGTGTCATCCTGACCCCTGCCATCATCGTGGGAAGTGTATTGACCTGTGGACTAGCTTCAACTGTGAGTGTGATCGACCCTATCATGGCTCCCTGTGTAAAGAAGGTAAGAACTGTTACACCTTTTAAAACATTACTTACTTTACATTTTCAAATATTGCTTTTCAAATAATGTCAACTGTAAACACCAGGCACTGACAATGTGCTGTCATTTAAAGGGGGTTACATGTGTCTCCTCAACTTACAGCCAGTTCCCTTCAACTACACTGTTTTGAAAGTATTTGTTGTTTCCCTCAGAATACCCCTCATGGACATTCAGTAATGAAGACACTGTGAGCTATGCTGCCTTTAACATCAGCCAAACGGATGGGGAGAACTTCAACATCTCCTTTTTCCTGCGCTCTCTGAAGCCTAGCGGCCTGCTTCTCCAGCTGAGGAGAGGGAGGAGGGCCTACCTCACCCTGTACCTGCGGGAGGGAACCCTGGTCTTCAACAGCCCCCTCACCACCCTGTTCTCTAACGGTACCTACATCACCAGAGGACAGAGGGAGCTGGTCACTGTGGTGGTACGCCAGGGTCATGTAGGGTTCAGTCAGGGTGGTACACAGCTCTCCCTGGGGAGGGTGAGGATGGAGCGGGGAGACGTGGTGTACATGGGGGGTCTGCCACCGGGGGAGTCCACTGCCCCCTGGGGAGGTCACTTCAAAGGTTGCCTGCAGGACATCATTCTGGACCACATGCACCTGTACCCTAACCTCCCAGAGGAGGAGTGCCACACCCACAAAGCGTTCCAGTGCTACTTCCCAAACAAAGCTGAGAATGTGTTGGATGGCTGTGTCAGTGATGAGGCATGCAAGGTAACATCAATAACAACTTTAAGCTTTAGAGATATAATACTGTAACTGTAGACCTATGAACTGTTTTAGGAAACTGGTACACGAGCTGTCTAGATTTGTCAGGTTTGGGTCCTGACAAAGACTTTTCAGTTCCCTCTTTGTATCAGACACTAATATCTATGTTCTCCTCAGGCTGGTCCCTGTCAGAATGGAGGAACGTGCACAGTCACCTGGAATGATTTTGAGTGCACCTGTCCCATGAACTTCTCTGACAGGCGATGTGATTCACGCGTGTGGTGTATCAGCGACCCCTGTGTCATGGGCAGCCAGTGTGTGGATCTAGTTGACGGTTACGAGTGTGAGTGGACTTTTTGGATTGTATACATTATCTCTCTCCATTTATCTCTACTACAGTATCTTTCTCTCACAGACACATGCACAAACAAAATAACAAACACCTTATCAAAAGGTGTGTCACTGTATTCAACATTGAGTTGCCTTATCAATATACTGCTGTTCCCCCAGGCCTCACTAACGCCACCTTTGAGAGCAACACTCTGCAGTTCACTGCTAATGGCTCGCTTGTTGCCACGGTGACCAGTGTCTCTGTGGACATACGTACTCGGGAGGAGAATGGCGTGCTGCTGCGGGCCACTAACGGAGCAGAGGTCTTCTGTCTGGGTTTGCTCAACTCCTCCCTTCTGGTTAAACTACTGAGTGGCAACAGCCTGGAGCTACAGGCCTTCACCAGCGACCTGCCCATCTCAGATGGGGCCTGGCACCACCTCCACTTGGCCATGACAGACCCCCTGCAGCCTGTGTCCCGCTGGCGCCTCACCGTGGACGGGCGCAGGGCTGGCAGCACCATGGGCACAGCCGGGCACCTCAACTTCCTCAACGGCACCACCGTGTGGCTGGCAGAGAACTACACTGGCTGTCTGGGGGAGGTGAGGGTGGGAGGAGTCTACCTACCTCTGGTGGATGACCAAGATGCCCCCCAGGCAGCCCGGTTTATCAGACTGGGGAGGCAGGAGCACAAGATGGGGTGTGTTGGTGCCGATGTGTGCCAGTCCCAGCCCTGCCTCAACCAGGGCACCTGCCAGGACCTCTGGAACCTGTTCAACTGCAGCTGTGCCCCGGGCTGGGAGGGAGAGTTCTGCCAGAGGGACACAGACGAGTGTGCCTCAGGCCCCTGTGCCCACGGCACATGCACAGACCTGCTGGCAAACTACCAGTGTGAGTGCCACAAAGGATGGGGGGCCAGGGACTGTGAGGAGGGGGTGGATGACTGCCTGGAGCACAGCTGTTTGAATGGGGGCTCCTGCCTGGACGGGACGGGTACCTACCGCTGTGTCTGCCCCCCTGGATACACCGGCCGCCGCTGCCAGTCAGTACCACAAACTATAACCAGGGCATGTTCCTGATCAAAAAACACTGTGTCTGTGTCTGTGTGTTCAGTATGTATAGATGTTGTAATGACTGTATTATGTGTGTCCTACAGATGGAGATTCCCTCCACACCAATGTGATGAAGAGACGCAGTGTGACAACGGTGGGGTCTGCATGGATGGGATCTGGGGAGCCAACTGTACCTGCAAACCTGGCTACACTGGGGACTGGTGAGATTACTAACCCACCAAATTTTCCATAGAACATACATGGGCCGTATTCCCGGACACTAACATTTTACTGGACTAAGAAGGACTAAAAAACATGCTAAATGGACTAGGCTTAACCTGTGTCCGGTAGCCCGACCCTATATGTCTACAGTTTAAAAGCTGTGTATGTCAGTGGGACAGTATAAGGTTCCTATTGTATGTACAGAGAGCTGTGGTCCTGCTGGAGTGTCAGTGTTGTGTTTACCCCCCTGATGTCTCATAGGTGTGAGGCAGAGATAGATGAGTGTGTGTCCCGACCCTGTCTCAACGGTGGTACCTGCCTGAACCGACTCAACGTCTTCCAGTGTGTGTGTGTGCCGGGCTTCAGCGGCACACAGTGTGAAAGCAATGTAAGTGACCCTATATCTCCACTGATCACACTCAGTAACTGACAGTCTGCATGTAACTACATAATGTAAGTACATTTGTTACAGTAGACTATGTAGTGGTAATGTAAGTTGAGTATCAAAAGCTTATACACAGACCAGATTGGATCAAAGAAGCTGATGTATTAAAACAATTTAAGCTGTAGTTCGTCTAATCTCAGTTTGAGTGAGTAATAAGGTAATAATAAGTAATAATGATGTCATGATAAATAATAAGTCAATGTCCTGCTCTCTCCCCTCTGTAGAGACAGGAGCAGAAGGAACGTGTGCCCTGGCTAGTGGTGGCCATCCCTCTGGCCAGCCTGTGTGTGCTGCTGGCCGTGCTGGCCCTGGTCTTCATGGTGTTGACCGCCCGCAAGAAGCGCCAGTCAGAGGGCACCTACAGCCCCAGCGCCCAAGAGGTGGCAGGGGCACGGCTGGAGATGGGCAGCGTACTCAAAGTGCCCCCCGAGGAGAGGCTCATATGAGCCCCGCACACAACAGAAACACACACTACCTTCGCTTGGCTACAGACGGACACCGAGCCTCCCTGGCTCAGACACACACCAGACACAGGCAAGGACTGGTCAGACTCACTAAGAGGTGTCCAGAGGGTGAAAGGTCACCAGTGGTGTGGACATCATGCCGTCAGAGTGGTGCCACTGCCACACTGCTGCTGCTAGGTCATGGGGGTGGGGGTGATTAAACCCGGAGCTAATCCCTTTATGGAAATAGGTGACGTGGTCTGTCTGAGCTGCAGAGAGAGGCAGGATAGAGGCTGAAAGAGCTGTCTTCTCCCCAAGACTTGAGCACTGCTGTCAGGTTGAGTCTAATCAGCTAGTCCCCTCCCTGGAGCGATGAACCATACTGGATTCCAGTGTCTTTCTATACAATAGCTACCAGTGAACATTCTGTACCCCACATTGATTATGTGTGAGTTCACTCTAATGACCACTTTGGTATTGTATTTTTCTCTGGATGTGCACTATGTAAGTTAACAGGCAACCCACTATACCAATAATGTTCTTTCCAACTCTGTGTAAATACTGTAATTGTCTTATTTCTAAATCTATGATATGTGTTTTTTGTTCATGTCATTGTTTTGTGCAAATGTATGAGGCGCTCCTAAAACTCAAACTCATAGAAAGTGGATTGAGACCCCTTTAATGCTATCAGCCATCTTAAACTCTGATGCCACAGCATTCAGACAGGCTACATTTACCCAAACCTACACTCCTGTCTGTCTCTTACTCTATGCTCACCAGTGCCACTACTTAACCAGCCAAGTGATCAATGGACGTTTTCACTGTCCACCAAAGGTGCTGAAGCTAGATATTGTGCTGTAGTTATTTTCTGTAACTATGGATGTTGTACCACATTTATATACTGTAACCAAGCTGAATATGAAGTTTATGCAAGACCATACTAAAGTCAAGTTATTGAAAGATAATGATTTATTATGAACTGACTTCCACATTACTTTACAAATGAGTTTGCATGTGCCTTCCTTACAGAATGGATGGAATGCTGACAAACCCAACATTTGACTCTTGTACATTGTACATTGGATATGGTATCTATCTATATGTTGTTGTTTTTTATGGCCCTATCTACAATATGGTAGACTGGATTTAGCAATGTATTGTCTCAAAGGAAAACTCACTGTGATTATTGTATTGATGTCTGTGTGTAATGCTGTAGAGCAGTACGATAGACAGACAGATAGACAGAGCATGTTTTCTGTTCCATGTCTGTTGGGCCTCCCCCTCCCATTCCTGCAGGGCTTGATGATACAGTACGATACAGGGAGACATGTACTGAGTATACATTGACATTAGCTCTGCTCCAGTGCTGGATTATACAGACTACATTCCAGGGTTGGGATCAATTCCGTTTTCATTACAGTCAATTGAAAACTGAATTGACCCCAACCCTGGTACACTCTGGAACAGCGGATAGACTGGACTGATCTGTATTTTAGTTCTGAATAGTATGGTAGGCACTTACACTGGACGTATCTCTACTCAAGCTCTACCAACTACAGTGTTTGCAACAGTAAGGGATGTTGGGTAGGCTACACTGGTATGTATAGGGAGTATTCTGTGATTATTCTGGAAAATGTTATTGGATAGCAACACTGTAACATGACGCAATTGTAAATAATGTGATTCATTCAAAACTCAAAAGTTTCTATTGGATGTCAACAGTTAAACTGATGCAAAAGAGCTCATATAAAAGAAAGATAATTAAAACAACACCATGAAATGAATGGACTTACTGTGTATGGTTTTGTTTGTAACTAGATAAAATGCGGTAAGAATTGTATCTGACAAGTCAACACAGTTATCCTATTAGGGTTCAACTATCTGTTTGTTCAATAGAATTTGCAATTCAGTGTCCTTTACATTAATACAATGCTTCTGAAGGGATCACCTCCCACAGTGCTGTAGGAAGGTTCTGTCTGCGTATCACAGGGGAAGGAAGTGCTGTAGGAATGTTCTGTCTGCGTATCACCGGGGAAGGAAGTGCTGTAGGAACGTTCTGTCTGCGTATCACAGGGGAAGGAAGTGCTGTAGGAACGTTCTGTCTGCGTATCACAGGGGAAGGAAGTGCTGTAGGAACGTTCTGTCTGCGTATCACAGGGGAAGGAAGTGCTGTAGGAACGTTCTGTCTGCGTATCACAGGGGAAGGAAGTGCTGTAGTAACGTTCTGTCTGCGTATCACAGGGGAAGGAAGTGCTGTAGGAACATTCTGTCTGCGTATCACAGGGGAAAGAAGTGCTGTAGGAACGATCTGTCTGCGTATCACAGGGGAAGGAAGTGCTGTAGGAACGTTCTGTCTGCGTATCACAGGGGAAGGAAGTGCTGTAGGAACGTTCTGTCTGCGTATCACAGGGGAAGGAAGTGCTGTAGGAACGTTCTGTCTGCGTATCACAGGGGAAGGAAGTGCTGTAGGATGTTCTGTCTGCGTATCACAGGGGAAGGAAGTGCTGTAGGAACGTTCTGTCTGCGTATCACAGGGGAAGGAAGTGCTGTAGGAACGTTCTGTCTGCGTATCGCAGGGGAAGGAAGTGCTGTAGGAACGTTCTGTCTGCGTATCACAGGGGAAGGGAAGTGCTGTAGGAGGAACGTTCTGTCTGCGTATCACAGGGGAAAGGAAGTGCTGTAGGAACGTTCTGTCTGCGTATCACAGGGGAAGGAAGTGCTGTAGGAACGTTCTGTCTGACGTATCACAGGGGAAGGAAGTGCTGTAGGAAGTTCTGTCTGCGTATCACAGGGGAAGGAAGTGCTGTAGGAACGTTCTGTCTGCGTATCACAGGGGAAGGAAGTGCTGTAGGAACGTTCTGTCTGCGTATCACAGGGGAAGGAAGGCGTGCATGTTTGCAACATCTGCATACCACTGAACAATAAATTGAACAGAAATACAGTATCTCACCAGCAGATTTCTGTTTCTTCTCATAACGTAACACACCTACGGGCTGGAAATTGGCCCCCTTATAATAGACATGAAAGAGAAATGTTCTCTCTCTCTCATCCTGTAAGAATACTGTATGATTCCAGTTGTTATTAGCTGACTGATCCAAGGGAATGTGAACTGGCCTGTGATATTGAAACAGAGGGACCCATCCGGTCCAAGATGACAATTCAAAATGAAATCTTCTCTGCTGAGATAATATGAGAACAACTGAGAGAAGTGCACTAGAATGATTTCACTCATCCTTCTGGAGTAGAAAAAGCCAAGGCTCTTACTGTCCCTCCCCAGGAGTGGGGCTGGCACAGAGGGACACAGCCAGGATAAGGGCCAGAGACAGAGAGGTGAAGCCTGAATAATACAAGCACTTCAACACCAAGAGAGAGAAACCCACAGGAGGGAGTTCTGAGCTAAGAAGAGATATTTGGGAAGAACTAGTTTGGCTGCATATATTGCACAAGAGGCTGCTGAGGGGAGGACGGCTCAAAATGATGGCTGGAACGGAAACCATGTGTTTGATGTATTGGATACCGTTCCACTCATTCCACTCCAGCCATTACCACCAGCCCGTCCTCCCTAATTACTGTGCCACCAACCTCCTGTGATATACAGTATTGATATATTCTATAAAAACAAATAAAGAGAGTCGCACACTGTATATACAAGCTCCCAGTAATTTATTGGGTAAACCACCAGCGTTTCGGCATCACTGTGCCACCCTGAAGAAGGCTCTGTGGCACCCTGAAGAAAACACAGTGATGCCGAAACGTTGGTGGTTTACCCAATACTGGGAGCTTGTATGTACAGTGTGCGACTCTCTTTATTTGTTTTTATAAAATACAGTTTACTCGCCGTTAGTCAGCACCTCTACCAAGTTTTTGGGGGTGTGCGCAAGCTCATGCTTTTTATTAGAATATATAGTATTGCTGACAATTGCTGACAAAGGTGCTTAGGTTACGATAACGTGATAAAGTGGGAATAATTATGGTGATATTCAGCCTTAATATCGTTCAATTCATAGATAATCCTTTAACTTCACAGTCTTTTCTCTCTTCCTCTTTCTCTCACTCTCTCGCTCTGCACCCCCATCCCTCCTTCCTCACTCCCTGGCCTCTTTGAAGATTAAATGGTGAATTCCTTTGTGTTTTTGTCAGACTCCCACCCTCAGAACAGTGCAGTGGTGGTCAGTGCTTCTCTCCCTAATGAACAGAATTAGAGAGGGATGGAACGCTGGCTGGCTTCCTCTCTGATCCACAGCGTGGGGGGCAGAAGAGGCCGGAATGCTGGAATCTACACACACACGCACACATACACTCGTCAGGTCTAATTCCGTATACCCCTCCCAACAATAAAACAGGGTAGAAAATATGCCTTACCTAAATATGATGTGATCTACTGTACAATGTAAAACATATTTACTTTACTATAACTTTACTATCTTAACATAATCTCTTGTGGACAGACAAGCTATGTAAACAAAATGGTACAGTAGATCTGTCATGATAAAAAGGGATGTGTGAGATCAGCAACGTTAGTTTCGGTGCTTGGGTTTTTCGTCACTGGTTATTTGGACAAATCACGATTTTGCAGGTGTTAGCATCTTTCGAATTTCGGAAGGGGAGGGGACATTTGGCCCGTAGATTTGCCTGTAACTTGCAAAGAGAAAGGGTGGAGCTCTTCGTTCTGGTTCTGATCCTCGTTCTATCTCTTCTCTTACGTATGGACACAGAACTTAATCGAGCATCTGACCAATTACGCAAGACTTTAGTTCTGGGTTAACCGATATCATGTTAACACAACCTTTTACATATCTGATACCTTACAGTAGATTTTAGTTCTGGGTTAACCGATATTCATGTTACCATAACCTTTTACCTATCTGATACCGTACAGTAGATATACCTGGACATCTTTCACAGAATCCAAAACAATTTCTACACAATGTTTTTAGCTTAGCGAAGCCTGATGAAGACAATTTACAGTGAATGCTACACTATTTTTGTGAAAATATATTATTTTTCCTGTCTAAAAACATGCATTTTCCTGAAGGGTACTCATACTACAGTAAGTATGGGGGAAGAGGGAGGAAGGGAGTGGTTGTGAAATAAAGATATACAGTAAATAGAAACTTGGACAAAAACACTCCAGCACCCAGATGAGCCCACTGTTCTCCCCTCCCCCTCTCCTCTCCCCCTGAGCCCTGAGAGATGGGTGCGTGGTGTGCAGGGATCCGCTCCCCCAGCGTTGGCGTGTGACAGCCCTGACAGACGAGGGCTGTTCCTGGGTAAGTATCATGTCAGAAGGAGGCGGCGCGCGGCGGGAAGCGCTCCACGCGGCGGTGTCAGCCATCATGGTGCCAGCTCTCGCTCTAATGAGGAAGACAGCCGACTCCTGCTCTTTCCCACGTGTCAGGAATCTCTGACAAATCAGCAGCGCATCACTCCGGCCACATATGATACGTTGACAAATGCAAATATTTCACTTTTAATTGACACTAAGAGATGGAGATGATACCGCTGCCAGGGCTTCTGAGGAGACAATGCAGTGGAACAAGCCGGAGGGAGGGAGAGAACTAGAGAGAGAAGAGGGGAAGAGTGTGATGGAGAAAAAAAGTGATATAGAGGGGGAAGCGGGGATGTAAAGAGCTAGAGAGAAAATAAGATGTAGGAATAAGCTGGAAGGATTTTTTTTTTTTATATTTGCACAGGATGTCATTCTCCCTGCATTATCCACACGTGGTTGACGATTGTGACAGCCTTGTGTGGGGAAACGCTGCTCTGCATTGATATAGCAGCAGGTTTACAGCTGATTGGCTGTATAGCAACTAAACCAAACCCTGCCAAACATTAGCAACACATTTTGCCAGGTGTGCCTCCCCTTCAGTACAAAAAGGTTTGTCTCTGCTCTGGCAGACACTGGGTGAATTATGGATCACTTGATATGGTACTTACTTCCTGTGTTTACACTCATAATGGGCCCAACATTTGAGCATTTTACTTTTCAGCAGGTAATAACAGGTGTACAATACTATGTGGTTTAGAAATCATGCATTTCCAGAATCATAGCATTATGATGTCTTTAATTGAGCAGTATAGCTGTCAATTCAGATCATTGTGCTCAATTACTCAATGAAATCCAATTTGTCTGTGTCCAAAAGACAGATTTTTCAACTCTTATCTATGGCACTGGCCTGCTGAGGCCGTTTATTCATGAGCAGAAATTCCCCTTTGTCACCACTAGAGAGCAAGAGCGAGCTGCAGCTCTGAACTGAGGAGGGGGACAGAAGGAGAGGAGAATACAGTAAGTATGGATC